CTTGTGAAGTTTTATAGTTTGACTATGATTGCATACTTCAAACATGGCTGAGAGTTTGAATGCAACCATCTATCAAGGATACTTATTTTTTAACATGGTACAGAATTCTTTACCTGTTAATTTTTCAATAGTTTACTATGGATTATCACTTTCACAAGATGAGATACCACTAATTGAGTTAATTATAGAATTGCAATGTGGAAAGTGGTTTTGATGGTACAATGGCGATACTCGTGCATCATTTGGTGGTGCCTCTAATTCCAAGCCTAAAGGTAGATTTGAAAAAAGAGAAAGAAAGATATCCATAAGCATAAGAGCTACAAAAGATCAAAAGTAGATGGAAAGCCTTGAGGCAATATTTCGGTTGAGGTCGAAAAGGACACTGGAGAAAGATTACCTAGATGCACCAGTTAGAAAGCAAAATGTGGGTGAGGTTTTTCATTACTGAGTATTGTTTAGTGGTTGATACTACAAATTTCTAAGATTGCCTAGATGCACCAGTTAATGCGGATGTTTCAGAAAAGCAGAAAATTGGTGAAGGCCAATTTCAAATTATCGTTATTGTAAAAGCAACAGTTTTAGCAAGAGTATAAGATTTAGTATAAAAGCAGCAGTTTTAAATATTGTTATTATGTCTTGTGAATGAAGTATAAATTTATTTTCTGTTTTCGATTTAATGGGACAATGTTATTCTGTAAAATCAGAGTCTGATATGCTTAGAATTTTAATGAATAAAGTTCTTGTTTCCATAGACATACAATGTCACACCATACTAGTGATATATGTCTATGGCATCTTGGACTAATCAATCTTAACAGAATATAAAATTAAATAGAGATGGTCCTCTCAACACAGTTAAGATTGAACTATTGTCAGTTTCTAATTCATTTTTAGAAAGCAATATGACCAAGCTATCTTTTTTCACAAAAGAGATAGAGCCAAAGATGTATTGGAACTAGTGCATTATGATATGTGTTAACTACGAATACACTAGAAAAAGTGAACTGTGAGCATTTCTTTACAGTTGATTACTCTAGATTCAAATACAATTACTTGGCTTGAAAGCAGATAATTTTGAGAAATCAAAAGAGTATAAGACTAAGGTCGAGAATTATTTGGGGTAAGAGTATTAACATACTTTGATCTAATTGATGTGGTGAATACCTCTCAGAAGAATTTAGGGACAACTTTAAAGAAAATGATAAATTTCTTAATTGAACACGCTTGGTATACCCCAATAGATTGGTATTTCAGAAAGGAAAAAAAAACAAATATTGTTAGATATGGCTAGGTTAATAAAGAGTTTCATAGCTCTGCCTATTTCATTTTGAGATATACACAGAAAACAATTGGATAAATTCTTAACTTAGTTCTTTCTAAGTTTGTTCTCATGGCTCTCTTGAAATTTTGGAATGGGTTCAAGTCTTGCTCGTATCATGTCCAAAATTTGAGGGTTTAGCTCATGTGCTAAAAGATAATATAGAAAAGTTGGAGTCTAGGTCAGAGAAGTGCCTGTTTTTGGATATTCTAAAAATACCAAGGGATAATTTTTTTACATGGTCCTCTAGACAGGAAGGTCTTTGTTAGCACAAATACAACCTTCGTAGACGATAAGTATATTAATGATTGTCAGTCAAATAATAACGTCATATTGGAATAAATGAGTAGGAGCAATTCTACCTCATCAATTCTTGGACCCAACCTAGGACAGACATCCCATGGTGGCAATATACTTGGACAATGTGATTTGAGCGGGATAGGTGAGTTGTCATATGATCGCATCACCTTCAAGGTACTTGTTGAGTGGAGAATCCAATCTGGTGATCTCTTTCATACAAGGTGATGATCCGACTTCATACAAAGAGGTTATAGATAAAGTAGATGCAACGATCTATTTATGAATTAAAGCAGACATCAAGATCTAGGAATATGAATTCGACAAAATGATTAAGACATTAGAACTTTGAAGAATCCTATGTCTATAAGAATTTATGAGGTAAAATTGTATTTTTCCCAGTACAGATGATATTCTACTCATTAGAAATAATGTGGGTGTGTTATTGCCTACGAAAGTATAGTTGGCCAACAATTTCATATAATTGACTTAGTGAAGCTAGTAATGTTCTAGATTTCAGATCTTGAGAGATTGAAAAAACAAAGTGATAGCTTTTGTCCCAAGTCTCATGTGTTGATAAGATGCTTGTCAAATTTGCTATATAAGATTTTGCATTCAGGCATTGAATCCAAATTTCTAAGGATCAGTCTGTTGTGACTCCTAGGGATATTGAGTACATGAGAAGGATACCATATGTGTTGACAGTAGGTAGTCTCATGTATTGTATGCTATGCAATAGACCTGACATTTGTCATAATGTTGGTGTCATGAGTCGAGATCTAGTTAACCTTAGGATCAAAACATTAAATGGAGATAAAACATATATTTTAGTACCTCTAGAGAACAAGGAATTATATGTTTCTCGTCAGATCTTGTTTCGATATGTTAAAATAATTCGAACTTCCTGAGTGATGAAGATTATCACATGTCTACATTTTTTAGCAAATACCACTAGTATGGCTTATTTTATATAATAAAAAATGAGAATACAAATAGAGAAGGGGGCATAGACCTGACTCCAGCAATTGTAAATTGCAACAAATATTTAAAAATGAATTGCAGTCAACAGTAAAAGATATAAACAAAAACCAATGAGAACTACTCAAGGGTAAATCTTCATGTGGTAGTACATAGAAATTGATCGGGTCATTCATATTAGTCTGCGTAGTCCGGTTCACTCGTTGGGGAGGGGTCTCGCCTGCGTAAAGGAGCTAGATGAAAAATGATGTTCAGATGGGTGCACTAAATGTCAGGTTAAAAGCAGGTGCATCAGATCTCATGATGCTAGTCGCGAGTGCGTCTGATCTCATGGTACTTTGTGCTACAACATCTGAAGCGTGGGAGAGTGAACTGGTGATTGTGGGTACATCGTCCTTTACATTTTGCATGCAGTCTCCAAGGCTCATGCCATCCATGTCTCTCTCTATATGTTCTTTCACCTTATTTTTTGTAGGAGCCGTGATCGAAGAACTAGGTGAAGGTGTATGTATAGGAGTCTTACTCATAGAAGGTCCCTCACCAAAGAGCTTGAAAACCAAGTCCTCAATCTCAAATCTCATGGTAGATCCAACTTTCAGTCCATGGTCCTTCTTAAAGTGATCAATCAACATATGCTTGACACCACGCCGCTCTGAGCTAATCTTAGCCAACAATTCTCGTGCAAGAGTAGTATAAGGAACTATCCCTGTATTTGAGCCTTGTGCTGACTGAGTACCATCTATAAATGTCTTCAATGGTGGAAAACTGATCCTTGTTGGCTTAAGGGTTGCCTCAGTAATAGCAGGGGAAATAGGAGCTATAGAAGTAATAATAGGAGAAGCAGGCACCTCAATAGGAGCCTTTAGAATAGGCTCAGCAACTAACTGAATATATGGAGGTACCTTTGGATCAATTGTGATGGGGTAGAGGGAGAAACTGCCGATATAGATACTGACTCTATCATGATTGCAGTAGTAATGGAAAGCATAGAAAGCACTACTGAAACTGGCACCCACTGCTTCCTTGGCTCCACAAAAGTCATCATGCCTTTACCTTGTCAACTCCAATAATACGGGGCTAAACATGGGGAGGCACAACAACTGCAAAGAGAGGAAGAGGTGTACCCGAAGTACACTGATCATAAGAATGGCCCAAGTGTTTACAAGAGAAGCAAAAAATCGATATCTTCTCATAAATAGTCTGCCACAAGCTACGGTTACCAAATTTTTCAATCCAAACCTTGTTGGGCAACTTAAGCCCCAAATTCACCTCAATGCACACCCTTGTCTCACTAGGTCGTCTCAAGTCGGAGTTGGCCTCATCAATCCTCAAGGGTATTCCTATTATCCTAGATAAAGCAAAAAGGTACCCCTTGGCATGCAGATATACTAGAATAAGAGGGATGATACCCATACGGGAACTATCGAAGTCTCCTACTCAGGTGTAAAGTCACAAGTCCACTTAATGACTCTCATCAGACGCCCATCAATGTTCTATGAAGGTTTAAGAAAAGTCTACTGTAATCCTCCTCATGCGTAAGGTGTATAAGTATGTGTGTTGTGTCAATCAATCCTACCTCGAAGCAACCGTGGAACCCAAACTTAGAAAGTATCTCACATACCTTCCTCATGTTTGGCTTGCGATTTTGAAATTTCCCCACAAGTGCATAATTATAAGGATCAGAAAGTGTAGCCTCCTCGGACTCAGTCAAAACCGCTACTGGCTCACCCATATTTATAAAGGGTTCTTTGGCAACAAACCTGTAACACCCCAATTTTTTTCATAAATGTCGGAACGTTACGAAAAACTCACTTTTCTTTATTTTAAGTGTGGAACTATAAAAATAAAATTCTTTAATAAACAAATAATTGAAACCTTCACAAATTTAGCTTAAAACATGATACACTACAAGAAAAATGATATTTTACAACTAATGTTTCAACGACCAAATTAATTTGGTCGTTAAAAATTATTTTCAACAACTAAATATTAAGTTTGGTCGTGGAAAATGGATGATGAACAATCAAATTTTAAATTAGTTGGAAATATTTTATAACGACCAAAAAATAGTTGTCGATTCTATAGTTTTTACAACCAAATTAAAAATGGTCGTTGTCAGTGGGTGCCAAATTAAAAGTTCCCACCAACAACAATATAATTGATTGTTAAAAATACAAAAAAAGATAGTAAATATTCAACAACCATAATGTCTGGTCATTAATAGACTAAAATAACAGCTAATTTTATCTCGTTGAAACTAAAGAAAAATTCAATGACTACTTTAATAGTTGTTAACAATGTTTTCAATTTCACGTCTTAAAATTTAGCTTCCTGCCTAAAATTTCACTTGGCTCTTGAAATTTCATATCATAGTCAAACAATTTTAACTCACCCACGACATTTCACTTCATTCCAAAGCCTGAACCTCAAATCCAAAACTTCGTCTCTTCTCATGGATTTGCACCGCCTCCATGAATAATTCCTCTTCCTCACTATCTCTGCCTCTTTCTCTTTGAGCATATAAAGAGAAAAGGGAACCTCAAATTTCAATCTTCACCATCGTCGATGGTGGGTCACATGACCCACTATTTTTTTTTCATATGTATTTAAATCAAAACAGAGTCCCACAGCAATTGAAATTCTAATTGTTTTGCCGATTACAAACAACAATTGAACAGAGTTACAAAGCTCCATTTCAAGCAACAATTGAACAGAATCCCATTAGTCCCTTTTGAGTCCCATTACAAGTAGCAATTGAACGGTGTCCTTCCTTCCGCCATCCCCTTGCTCCGTTGTGCGGGAGATTTAGTCGACACGAGAGACAGGGAGAGATTTTGCGGGTGTTGCTGTTGCCAATTCAGCCGTCCGCCTCCTGTCGTCGCCATAGCCATCTGCTTCTGGAGGTGAGTACAGACTATAAATTATTTTGTGTCTTTCATTTTTTGAATAATTCTAAACGAATATAGCCGATAACATAGAGGATGATATAGCACTCACATAAAATGCGTGGGCCCCCGGGTGAATAAAAAAAAAGCCAACCCCCATGTGTGAGGGCTATGTCAAATGTCATCCTTTATGTTCATCTAGCAAGGCTTTAATTTTACTTACATCTACTTATTTTGTGTTTTGATTAATGATTTTGAATATCTGTGATTGTGATTTGCTTGAACTTACAGATTCTGAATAACTCATGATTAATTCTTTCTATTTTCTTTGGGATGGGTAATTTTTTGTTCAAATTTTAACAAACTCTTCCATCAAAATTGTGGATCATAAAGAACCTAAGTCATTGAAATCCCTACAATTACAAAAAGAATTAAGAAAATATTGATCAGAAAGGGGATTAGCTCTCTGTCATGGATGATTGGTTATTGTAATATTGATCAGAAATGGATTCCTCTGCTTTCATCCCTGTCACATACATTATTGTCAGGTAATTTTTTGTTAAACAATTTTGTAAAGGGATCATTGCAGGAGTAGTTGTACAGGTACTTTGTCAAACCATTTTTTAATCAAGGTATATACTTTGATTAAATTTCTTGAATTAGTACATTGCGTTTATTATTTCTATAGTGGTTAATATGATTCCCTTTTCACTCTTTCAGTTGGTTTGTTGCAGCCTGCAGGTGCTGGATTCACAGACATTGAGGATGTTGTTCCTTTCGTTAAATGGCTGGATGATGAGCTCTCCACCTGGTACAGTTTTTTATATTGTTTAGTTTTCTTAGAGGATTAGACTCGGACATGATCAGAAATAGAGCATAGTTCATTGTTGTTAAATAGTTAACCGTCTAATAAATCTTATGGAATAGGTTGATGAAAGGGCAGTGCTAAAGCATTTTGATTGGCCTGAGAAGAGGGCAGATGCATTAAGAGAAGCTGCATTTGCATATTGTGTGTCTGAAGCCTCGTCATTTCGTGATGATCCTAGACAGCCTTGTGATTAGGGGCGGACCAAGGGCGGTATGTCAGTGGGGGCAAAAGGGAAAAAACCTTGTGAAAAAATCTGAAAATCCAAAAAAGATTGGGAAAAAGTTATGAAAATCAAAAAAAACTTGGAGAAAATTTGAAAATCTGAAAGTCGAGTGAGGGTGGCCGACCCCGCAGGTCCCTTCACAGGTCCACCCCTGCTTGTGATGTTGCTCTCAAGAAGATGCAGGCATAGTTTGAGAAGTATGAAAATTTCCTAATTTTATTACGTACATTGTCGACAAATTGATAAACAAATTTAACTTCTGTGTCGTTGGCGACATATTGGATCTTGGAGTTAATAATTTGTCAAAGATGAGAGAATCAGCCGCAGAAAGATACAGAGCATTACGTGTCCCAATTGATTGGATGCTAGACAAGGGATGTTGAAGTCAGGATGTAATCTTTTGCTTAAGTCATGATATTTCGTATAATTAACACATATATTTGTAGTTGATGTTGGGATATTTTAATTTATTCAATGCCAGGAAAACTTTATTTCTTGTTAATATTATTTACAATTGGCTTTCTTTACTTTTGATAGTTGTTTATGATTGTGGAAAAGATTTGCTTGTAGTATGATGTGAATATGTGAAAGTTATGAATCCATTAATATGTTTTTTCAATGATATTTTATCAAAAAATAATTAATACAGCGACAAATCAAGTAGCAGTTGAAATAAAATCGGTTGCTAATTTTATTTTTTTACGACCATTTCTTTCGTCGTTGAAGTGAAACACAACTAAAATTTGGTTGCCTTCATTATATTTTAACGACAAAATTAGTTAATAGAACAACCAAAAAAGTGGTTGTTGAAAAAAGAATTAGTTGTCAATATAAACTTTTTACTACTAATTATTTAGTTGCTAAAATAATACATTCAATGACCAAATATACTTTTAGTCGTTAAATACATTTGCCAACACCCCTTTGCCAACCAAGGAACAACCAATTGATTTTGGTCGTTGAATAATATCAACAACGAAAAATGTATATTATACGACCATTTCTATGGTCATTGAAAGTGATATTTCCTGTAGTGATAATCGTATTTTTAAAATAAACATATTCAGGTAACTAATTCAGTAACATTTTTATTCTTTTAGAATAAATTAAACTAATTAAATTGAAAGACAGAATAACTTAATGAATATTTTTTGTCTCGGCAGCCCGCATCACCATTCAATACCATTCCAATCGATTCGAACTAACTTGTACAAATTGTAAGAGTGAGTATTTAAAAATACCCAATAAGATATGTGCAGTTTTCATATATAGATATATAACAATAAAATCTACACTTCATACTGCTCTGCTTTTATGGAGTATATCGGTGACCAAACGACACGCCCATCTTAGGTCCTCTTAAATTTCTGCAGGAATTCCATATCTCTTTCTCTAGAACCTGAAGGTCCACTAGTAATCCATGCATATTTAATTGTATATAAAAGTATATAGAAGCATAAACAACTTGCAAATATGTATTTTACCTCATTTAAAAGAATTCACAGAAATATGAATTCGAGTTCTGTTTCTCAACTGCTTCTATAAAATTAGCTTGCTTTCTCTTCCTAAAATATTTTACCTCTCAGTACTGTGTGTATAATTTTTTAGGATATATTATGACCTCTCTTTCTTTTTCTCTGGATTGTTTTTCTGTCGAGCAGCGTGCTTTACTAACTATCACCAAAGTTGAGCACTGCTGGAAGACTTCATTTGATTTGTACGATTCCACTATTCTAGCCACTACACCATAAAGTCTAAAATTTTCTACTATTCTGATTCCATTAGATGACAGCAACTTGGAGTTTTAATTGCATTACAATTAGCCTTTTATCCTAATTGGAAAATGGAAATCTACACATCGTTAACCATCTATGTTAATTCCCAAAAATCAAACCAATTAATTAATATTAAAAAGATTTATCTTATCTACCATTCACATGCCTACTATACCCATACAATTCAAAATCAAAGTAAACAATTCTCTACAAAGGACACGTGGATGGCTAAGTGACAATTACCAATAATTTAACATGCTAATATATATCAATTCCTTTAAACGTCATTCTCTTAAGCTTATAGACTATCCGAATCAACTTTTCCTCGAGCCTAAAATTCATGATTTAATATGATCTGCCCAACAAGCACAATATTGATATATTAAATCTTGATCTATAAATATCTAATTATTAGACCCAAATAAAATATGATTTCCAAATCCTATTTCATTCTCTCTCTTTTTTTTAAATAATAATATAAGAAACAATATAAATAAATTTATTTACTTAGGATTAGTATTAACAACTAACCTTTATCCTAATCAACTATCAAAACTAATATAAATTACCAGCCAACCATCATAATTAACTTGATCAATTCCAGATTTATCTTTATAAAAAATATAACCCATTCATCTCTACACACATGTAGTTGGATCCCTCTAAAATCCAAAGTTAGAGCAAATAAATCTATTTAAAATAAAACTACCTCATCTATAACAACCTACTCTTGTACTATGTCAAGAAAATTGCCCCTACATTGTACCTAATAAGTCATTCAACTCTAAAAGGAAGGTAATTTCTCTCTCCATCAAGTTATGATCAATTAAGAAATACCTCTCTCTTTCTCCAACAAATAGCTCACGTGGGATGGAAGAATTTAAAATGAATAATAACCTAATTAATTATAAATTTAGGCAAATCTTTCAACCTCAATAACATGGACAAAATTTATTCAAAATACTTATTTCTCGAATCCAATAGACATTATTTAAAATGGTTTTGCTTCCTGTACATCGGGGTGTACCTGATGGTGTACACCCCATTATATACATCTAGCATTTTTCTATTTAATACGAGCTACATAATGAGCCCAACGTTGATATACTTATCATTAGTATATCAAAATTCACATATTTGACCCAAAATATAAGAATTTAAAATATATTTTGACTTAGTCCCTCAACTTTTGAAATAGTAGAAATAATACATAGAATAAATAAATTTTTATTCAAAAAATTTCGAGATGTTACAAAACCCGATAGTGTAAGAGTCATATGTACCCTGTATAACCGAAGTAAAAGACTTCCATGAACTCTGCTCGGCTTGAGATAGGTTTGAACAGCCAGAAACTATAGTAGCATAGGTCTTTTGGCCTTGATTAAACACTATCTATGCCTTATGTGGAAAAATCAAGGACGAAAATGTATTTGGATTAACTGCAGGAACATTCTGGACAAAATTCGCAGGAGGGCAACTGGAATACCGTCGGTCGGTTGTTAGCAGCTTCGTTTTTCGAGCCAAAATCAACTAGAAGTAGAAAAATTATGAATTTAACCGGTCCTGAGGATTAAGTAAATAACTATCAAGAACGAAGTAATATTTTTACTTAGGTAATTTCCCCTTTTCTAAGAAAGGAGAATAGGAATGAAATAAACTCGAAATTTCATCCTGATCCACGTAGTTAGGTGCATTTCCCAAGGTAAGGTCTATAGAGGCCCAAAAATTTGTGATTTTTCGACAATCGAGCTGATTACGTTTGGGCCCATATCTAGAGCATTTGTGCTCCGGTTTGGTTGAATTTTTGAGCAAAGGTAGTCCGATTGATGGGAAAGATGAATATCTGGCGTGTGCATTTGTTGGAGATCTACATAGGGATTAATTGCAATTTCAGTTTCTGACTATACGGGGAATCGAGGTTGCGATTCCAACCAAATCCGATGTCTGTGACACTACCCCAAGGGTTTTTGGGCCTTCTGAGTTCATTGGTGGTGATCCTATTACCAAAATCTAACTAGAAGTGGTAAAAAAGGATGCATTAGGATGCGTGCCTATATTTTTTTGAGTTGAATCCAATCCAAAAGCTATTGAAACTATTGTTTGTTGCTAGAAATGAATTGTGGATATTGTTGAGGGTGTCCTATCATCTATTTGGTTGGTGTTTTCCAGTGGCAGAACAAGAGCGTTGATATTTTGGAGTTTTTCTCCCATCCAAGAGAGAAGACTATCACATGTCTACATAAGTATCATTGTTTACATTTGATGGTGGGGCCATTATTTGGAGAAATATCAAGTAGTCATGCATTGCTAATTACACCATTGATGCCAAGTATTTGGCAGCTTGTGAAGCAACTAAATTGGCTGCATCAGAGAATCCGTACGGATATCGAAGTGGTACATACATCAGCACAACCCTTTACATTGTATTGGGATTACAGTAGGACTATTACAAACGCTAAAGAACCAAGAACTATCAAAGGGGTAAACCCATTAAATGAAAATATCATCTCTTAAGAGAGATAATTGGTAGAGAAAATATGGTTTTCAGTAATATTGCTACTAAGATAATCTTGTAGACTCATTTACTAAGATCATATTAGCTATGGTTTTTGAGGGATATCTACAAGATATGAGGTTGCAAGACGTGACACCTATACTCTAAATGGGAGATTTGTTAGGTTGTGTGCCCATATAATATATTTTGCTTTAATAAAATAATAATTTATAATACATAAATTGAGCATGCGAATTATTTTTTATTGAGCATACAAATTAAAGTGCCTATGATCACTTAATAATATAAGCTGGGCACTTTCGCTTAGAAGTACAATGTGAAACAACCTATATTTTGATCTTAGATTATTTGTTCACAATCAATGTATAAGGTTGGCACTTTGTACTGGAAGGTTGTAGTACAATTGAGATTTGTAATTTGTCCTTATCACAGAATTAGTTAAATGTGACACTTGGATTGTATTAAACAGACTACGTGTTGAGTTTAATTCTATAGCATGACCGTGCCGATAATTAAATTCCACTTGACAACTGTGTATTTCATTTAAATCCCTTGACGAGGCTATGTATATATATTTTCGTGATTTTAATGGTTCTTGATTCATCGATAGGTAAGATTAACTTTACTAGTCAAAATC